AGAAAATGAGCAGCAACACGGTTTCAACAAAATGACAATGTGACAGTGACACCTCCTGGTGAACACCAGGTACTTCACGGATGGTTCTGTTCTATATCTGTCATCCTTTTTGTCCTAATTTCAGACATCTTACCTTTAAAGGTCTGTTTTAGTTCATGTACATTTTCAGAATTTGTTATCAGGTGTATAAGGTCAGAAATGAACAAGAACCAGGAAGAAACAGAATGACATTGTCGTTCCTTATGTGGTAACTCAGAATTTTCTCTATGCATAAACATCACAGTGCACTTCTGATCCAGCAACACCCTCAGACAAACCTGGTTCACCCCCGAACACAAGCTAAACAGCGTAGTGTACCATGTGAGGAGTGCTCGGACCATAAGAGAAACAACACTCCACAGACGCATGGCACAACAAGAAAGCCGCCTCATAAGGACAAGACGCAGCTGTCCACCTTCTCTTGAAGGGGAAAGGACGCTCTTCAATGATGCCAATGTTCAGATTTTTCACAGATTATTTGAGAAAGGAGCCCATCTATGTCCACTGTGACTGACCCCTGGTGACAACGACCCACGCCTTTTTTTTCCACACCTGGGCTCACGGGATCACTACCACCTCCAAGAGGGCAGCCTCTTCTAGAGGTCAGACACCTGAAACTCTCAAATCTCTTGTTTTAGAACAGAAGAAGCCTCTTGGATGGGAGGGGAAACATCTTCAAGAAGCAAAGAGTTCAGTTGCCTTCTTTTCAAACACTTCAGACTACCGTGACCTGGATGACTGAGAAATTACAGACATTAGTCTATAACCAGAAAATGTGTAAAGTGACGAGAACCAGAAACTCTTTCTACATATATTCAAAAACAAGACCATAAAAGTCATAAGGAGCATGATGAATGGCAACACTGACATTCAACATTCTCTACTAAAGGACCATCTTCCATATAATCAAATTATTACTACGTAGAAAACTGTTGCAGTAAAAGCTGAGCTGAAAGCAAACGAACTGTTATAAATGTATAATTAATGTTTTATAATCTATTATAAGATCCATTGTAATAAAAATGTTAATTTGATCTCTTTATAACAGTCACAACATTAACCCACCTCTGCATCGGTTTAGAAGCAAAATGTGGATTAAAAATAAATTCTCAGGAATTACCTTCGTGCTGCCTTCAGGGTCTAAGATGTTGACACAGGAAATATACTCTTGCATTGCTTGTTCCTGATCCATGTCTCCAAGCTGCTTCCAGGCTTGCCTGTTATGATATCACAATTACCAAAGTAATCACTGTTAAAGCTTTTCACACGCCGTGAACGAAAACATGAAAACAGAAATATTAGATTCACTGACTTTGGGGGAATCATTTTAATACTTTGCAAGAGGATGGGCTGTTTGTGAACAGTGGTTTGTTTTAAGTAGCAGAAACATTTTTCTTCATCAAGCATCTGAACGTGGATCCCTGAGCCTGGTTCTGCCACAGGTTCCTGTTTAAAAGGGACTTTTTCCTTTCCAGTGTTGCCAAGTGCTCGTTCGTAGGGGGTCGTCTGATTGTTGGACTTTTCTTTTTATTATTGAAGGTTCTTTGCCTTACAATGAGGCGACTGGTGCCATTTAAGTAAAAGTGAATTGAATTGACTTACTTGACCTATAAGGCTTTAAAATATGTGCAAAGTGAAATCTGGGCTACTTACCATTTTCTTTGTCCTTCAAAGTCAAAGAAACCAGGTTTTGGTGTATTGCACTTCCCCACTTTGACCTATAGATACAAAATCACATTACATATCTGATTTAATGTCGCCTGCAGCTGTGAGCCTGACTCGATTAAATACCAGAGGAGTCACGTAAATGCTGAGATTCATGGCGTGTGGGGGTGTCCCGTCTAAAGCAGCGTGGTGCAACTACTTGAAGGCTCGAGTGTGGCCGACACACGCACAGTGACATTAATCGTACAATCACCTGTTTGTAGCGAGCGTACAGGTACAGCAGCTGGTCCCTGCTGGCCGTCTGTATCAAGTCTTTTACGCGGTCGGCGGCAGACTCGAACTCGCGCTCCAGCTCTTCTCCCTCCAGCCGGTCCCCCACCTCCATGGCGCTGCAGTCAAATTTACTCAAGCCCAAGTCCGAATCCGAGTCCGAGCCTGCTCCACCGAGGGGCTCTCCTGTGTCGGGCCGGGCTGGATCCGTACCTGAGCCCGTCGCGGTGTCCGGAGAGGACGACGGCGAACCAGAAGCCATTGTTATTATTGTTTATAGCGTCTCAAACGACGGGAGCCGCGGATCTCCGTGAGAAACGCGGAGAAGCGTACGGAGAGCAGCTGCCTGTTATTTATATTATGTCTGCAAAGTGTTTCAGCAAAGACTTGGATTTTAATCCGTTATCGTAGCAAATCCGCGACAGTCGGATCTATTTCTGCCGTTGGTCCGTGGCTGGTACTGTCAATTTAAAAGCGCCGGTAAAAAAAATCGCTGTTAGTAAGAAAGGTTCCGACTCTGGTGCGAGTAAACACGCGAACACGCGCTTTTCTGTATATTTGTTATGAATGATTAAACAAAAACTAAATATTGTCTAAATGAAAATAAAATGTTTGAGTTTTTTCTGGTTGCTGTGTACATGTCACGTTATCGTAGGTCAGCTGACACCGAATAATATATATTAGCTGGCTAACTTAAGCGCTAAAGTAGCTTGCAGTGGGTTTGTTGATGCTTTGGGTGTAAAAATGTTTCTTGAAATCTCCTCAAATAAAAAACTACGTAAAGTACAGCCATTAACCCATTTCTTTATATTTTGCTGGAAATTTGGAAATGGGTACAACAACCGATTAAACAAATCTGCAAAGATAAATCGAAATAAAGCCTATAAGGCAAAAACAAAGTCTGTTCCATTCTAATGACTTTGAAAGTCAATATTTGTTTTGAACACAGTTATTCCTCATAGCCCGAAATCTCTGTAGTAAGCTTTCTCGTCCTGTCTGTAAGGAGTCTTCAGCAATAGTTCTCAGGGCTTCTTGAAGGACATTCAAAGCTCTTCTTTGGATGTTGGCTGCCTGTTGTTCTCTTCTCTGTCACGCTGCTTCAATAATGTTGAAGGCCAGTCCATGTTTTTCTGTCCAGATATGCTTTTGCTGCATTAGCAGTGAGGTTGGGGTCATTGTCATGCTAACAAATGAAGCCAGTTGCTCAGATGCTTTCCAGGTGGTATGGCAAGGTGGATCAAAATGGGATGGTACTTTTTGTTTTCGCAGTTTCATTTGACAAGATGTCTAGTCGAGTTTATTTCCTAGTTCTTAAGTAATAATAAGACACACCTCAGCCTTTCCTCGCTGTCTTTTTGGCAGCCGCTATTACACAGAGATCATTTCTAATGGTCCTTCAGCTGCAGGGCCAAATGTTTCTATCAGGTACGTGTCAGGTCTTTCCTGGACTTTTTCCCCTTCTTGCCACTTATTGTCCTATATCTGTCCAGTTTCCTCCGTTTTTTCTTCCTCCTTAAAAAACAAAACAAAACAAAAAGCATGCTGCTCACCATGCTGAGATATGCAACGTTTTTAGGAATCACCTTGTTGGTACCTAGTCCAGTCTGAGTCCAGATATCCGTCAAACTGTGTGAGCTTAGATATTTTTCACAAGTTCCCCTAAAAAAAAACAAATAGAACAAAATGTGTTTTGTGGCAGACTGTTAGTAACAAAGTGGCTAAAAATGAGGGTCTGGAAACTTGGAAGAAAAATACAAGGATTGGACAGCCCGTCCATTCCTTATCCATTCTCGAGACTTTTGCGCAGCACTGCATACTCCATCACAGACATTTCCTGGTAGAACATTTTAGTGTGAGATGTGTGCATGCGATGGGTTCTGTTTTATAAGGGACTCTCATTATCCTAAAATGAGGATAACTACAGACAAGAAGGTAATCGCTTAATTTTAAGACTCAAGAAGTTTATTGACATTTGCTCTGGTGTTACTCAGCCTGAAACGAAATACGGTTTCTCACCAGCCTCTACAGTGCAATAAGCAATACAGTTTAAAAAGACCAAGTTTAAAAAAGAGCAGTAATGAATTGCAACAATAGTTATGGATAAATAAATAGCATCAAATCTAAGTTCTAAAACAAACTCCATTCACATTCGTTCGGGTAGAAAAACCCTTTAAGGGCTTCAATTTAAAACTTTTTAACGACGTTTTTCTGTCCACCACATTTTTTATAAATGTTTAAATTCTACTTGGACTCTACTGCAGCACATATTAATCAACCTGAATGTTTGCGACACCTGCCACAACACTCAGCTTTGTGAAAACAATGTATTAACATATCGTGTCCAGCAGATGGTGCTATTAACACAAAGATGTTTTATTGTTGCGTTTGGCACTTTTTATCCCAAGTACATGATGTCGCTCATCACGTTCACCAGGACGAAAATGGATTCAGTAATCGAGTAGCCTAAGCTTAAGTCAATAACGTTTCTATTAAATTAAACGTTTTTTTCCTCTTTGAGAAAAAGCTCAACTTCCGAATTATTTCTGGTTCGTATCTGTTTCTGTTCTACTTCATATGCGGTAAACACGGGGAACTTCCCAGTATATTAACAGTATTAATGAGTATATTTTTACAGAGCTAGTGGTAGCCTGTTATCGTGTTCTTGTGAACCTGTTTTTAGACCGAAAGCTACAAGCAGCTTACATCAAGCATCAAAGTGCGTATAATTTGTTGTCTACGTGACTTTCTGCCATATTATCTGCAGAGAGATAAACGTCACAGACACGTTTTAGTTAAAGAAAAACTGTATAAGTTTTAAATGAGTTATTACTGTTGGTTGGTCAGTTTAAATATATATTTATATATCTTTAAAAAAGTAGCACATTGACTTCCAGGAGTGTAACTTTATTCCTTCTTCTTTTTGTAGAAACGCACAGCAGACAGTTGCCTCTCTAACTACTGTACAAAACCCCAAAGGAAATAAAGTGAAGCGAAGACTGTGAGGGGTGCACCACTAACAGTTTTCACGAGGTCCCAACAGTGTCCGAGTTACACTGCGCGCTCTGCTGACGCAACCACGTCACAGTGGTTCATAGCGATGGCGGACCGCAGTGTCCCCAGACTTGCCCAGGGAGGGACCGAGCAAAGTCACTGAGCCACTTTCACCGGCTCCAGTAACCTGTCGCCCGACCACCTGTTAAAGGGAGGCCACTGTTGTTGTTCTCGTTGTCCCTCCCATGAAATAGTATGTGGGACGGGATCTGCAGGGAGTGCGCAGACCGGGACGAGCCAGAAGTGGAGTGAGCAGGAGCGCAGTGTGCCGCGCTGACGCGCCGCATGTTGAGCCAGCAAGTTGACTGATAAAATAAAAGTCGCGTCGACGGGGAAGGGGACAGCCGCGCTCGGATTTAACAGCGCTTTGAGGAGGACACTTGTTCCGGCAAAATGAAATTCGCGGAGCATCTTTCGTCCCATATCACTCCAGAGTGGAGGAAACAGTATCTTCAGTATGAGGTAAAGCAGAATATATGTTTTTTAAAAATGAATTTAAGGTGGGAACGGACGCTGACCAAAACGGACCTGCTTCCATAGAGCTTCAGGAAACTGGAAGAAAAGAGTCGCGATTAACTAAGAGAAAATGTAAAGTGTTTTAAGTTTGATTTATTTTTTCCAGTTTCAGTAAAGCCTGCTCCTGAGGGCAATAAACGACGGGAAAGATAAGGGATGCCTATTGTTTATGGAGGGCAAATTGACTGCGGTTGTTAAGAGCCACGGGGAGCATTCAGCGTTTGTTATTGCTGTTTGTTGATTTTAACACATATGAAAATAAACATAAAAACTCTGTTTGATTAAAAAACAACAACATTTTTTTCATACTGTGGAAAAAATTAAAGTTATTATTATTTTCTTTATTTTAACAATTATGGAGAGCTTCACACAAAACAAAAACCTGAAGATTGTCTTTGTGTTTATTTTTCACATTTCTTTGCAAAACAACCCAATTTTCAACCTTTCTTTTTGTTCGGTCACATCATTTTTTATCATCATGTTAACTGATGGTGCATTGTTAAAAAATAATAATAAAAGACGCTCTTTGTCCAAAGACACCCCCCCCCCCCCAAAAAAAAAACCACCTCCTTAAATTATTAACATTTATTTTCATCACTCTAACTAAAGACAAAGGTTATATCTCTTCCACCAATTGAGTGCAATGTGTTCCAAAAATTTCACATTTCTAACGAGTCTTTATTTTTGCTAGCATCAAAAATATAAAAAAGCATATTTTTTTGCAAGACTTTGAGACTAAAATGATGTTTATTATCATTTTTCTCAGTCAACCAGGAATAGCTGTCTGTGAATCAGCCTGCAGGGCTTCGTCTAACCTGTCTGGTTTTGATATCTGTTGATTTAGAGCAACATCTTTGTGTGCACACATGCTTTTTTGTTGTTGAGTGTTGTACACTACTTGAAGAGTATTTTAATTTCACACCCCACTTCTTGCTGGCTCTACAGTGAGAGCTTTAGTGCAGACATGCATTGACAGGACAGACTGCTCACTTCCATTTGACTCTATGAATTATAGACAAAGACCCCGTTCTCTTCACCCTCAGCAGCCCAGACTCAACAGAAGCTCAGTGCGCCGGTTTCATTTTAGTATCCTGCCCTGAATGATGATGTTAAGCTGGTCTGTTGGTACAGCAGACATTTGGATCTCTTGCTCTTGACAACATGATATGCTGTCATTGTTGTGCAATGAAAACATCTTTGGACACTATAATTAAAAGGAAAGAAAAAATGAATAGGCATAGCTGGGAAACCTGGGAAAATTTATTTAAAAATTAAAAAATGGTGATTAACATGCATGCGAGTGCAGTATGTTGTCTTTGTATGTACAGACTGAAGCACACTGAAGCCCAGGGACAGATGCATGGCCATACCAGCCATTTTACACCTCCAGTATTCAGTGCAGCACTCGCTGACCTGAGATGGATGATATATTTTCTCTGTGATTAGTGTTGGTTTTATGGTTGCTCTTTTCTGGGACATAATCTTGACTTTGACATTTAAGTTGATAATATTAATGCACTTAAGGAAGAAATATTATTAAAGCCAGCTGAGTTCTATAATATGTCCTTTTTTCTTTATTGTATTCAGTGATCGACTCTTATCGTCTCTGCATGTGATCCAGAAATTAGACATGAGAACTGAAAGGCGAATGACGAATCCTTTAAAACACAGCTGTGATTGATCACTGATGACTGACTCGTAGCCGGGAGTTAGTGTTTATATTTTTTAACCATTTAAAATAAACAGTCTTTACAAACATGTTCTCGTCACATATAAGCTCCTATTTTTACATGATGTAGGAGAGTTGCTCTCCTGTGTCTGCACTTCATACTCTTGCTCCGATCTGAATTATATATAGTTTGTTGACTGAGAATGTGTTCGTGTATTTATGTCATCGTGGGAGTCTTCAGTCTTTGTGCGACCTCTGTGACCACACACTGAGTGGGCGGGGTGGGAGAGGACTCACACCTATAGATGACGGACACTTCATTAGAAGAATTGGATTTTCCTCTGAAACGAGTCGGCAGATAGGGCCAAACATGAAGCTAAACTGAACTCGGTCGACTTCAGAGAAGTGAGTCACTTAGATGAAGCAGAAATGAATTTTTTTATTCTGGGAGATGCAAAAGCTTTGATATGCTGCTGTGATGCAACCCAAGCTGCATCACTTCGTGGGCTGTTGTTTTGGTGAAGCCGTCGCACACAGATGCGACTGTTGCATTGTAGTAATGACACGCTGACATCATTCCTGCAGCACGGGTCATTTTCATCGTTTTCATGGAGAAGCCGCGACACTTCTGCTCATTCGAGTCAGTCTCATCCAAACTGACTGTGGTTTGAAGTTATGTTCCTGGCTTTGTGTGCTGGTTGAACTCATTAACCTGCTGCACAGTTTTCACTTTTAAAGAGCGTCCTTTTGTGTGGAAAACTGTGGCGCCCATTTAGATTGGTCAGCCGGTTTCTATGCAGATGAAAAGGATGCAGCTAAGTGGCTGTTCCAGCATATAGAGGCTCTAGTTAGTAACGCACCTCATTCAAATGTGGAAGCATTGACAAGCCAATTGAGCGATTGGGCAATTAGGTGTTTGCTTTATCCTGTAGGACTGCAGTTATAAACCTGTATGCTAAACAGCTGTTTGATATGGAGGTGTGTATGTCCTGCCAACCCCAGATTTATGCCAAACTGCAGCCTGATAAGATTTTTCCCTTTAAATGTGATGCAACTAATCTGGAAATCTTACAACAACAGGTACAATTTAGTGAGTTTTTCAAACGTGAATATATTAGCGCAGGTAAGATGTAGACAGTAAGTAACAATTGTGTTTGGCAGCTGTATTGAGCAGCACAGTTATGAGAACAGATGAAGGACAGTGATTCAGGTGTGTGCGTGTATGTGTGTGGGCGAGAGAACAAGGACACTTTTGCATTTAGCTCAGCAGCCTAATCACTCATGTAAGCTTAGATGAGGAGGAGGAGGAGGAGAGTGCACGCAGAGACTCACATTTACAATTCAAACGAGCAAAGTGTTGCAGAATAACAGGGATGTGTGTGATTTCAGTGACTGTTCAAAGGTCAAGTCTTGCCTTTCTGTAATTAATCTGAGTGATTTAAAGGTCTAAACAAGCGCAGCGAGCTTTGTGTCGTTGTAGCCATTACAGAAACGTAACTGTACCCTGTTCAGTGAAAGTATGATTTATCAGCACTGCGCAACAATTTGAACATTATGTATACAACAGGCATGGCATGGCAACTGCTGAGAGGCCCCATCTCTATACCTCCCTCCTTCCTTGCATCCTCACCTCATCGTTCCTCCCCCACTGGGAGGACATCTGGTCCCCAACCAGACCTGCCCTCTGCTCCCCTCCTCCCCTCCCTTTATCCTCTCCTCCCATGTTCGCTTTACATGCAGGCATCCACTCAGACGCTGAGCTGCAGATTGAAGTGATCCATAGATCCCTTCAGACTAATAATGTACGCTTCGCACTTCCTCAAGCACAATCTCAAGCATCACAGAGCAATGATTTGGCCAAATATTTTGGCTAGTGTCCTCTCAACATGATTCAGCATTTAAAAGATTGAAGTCCACACACAGTATTCACTAACATGGATACTCTGCTATAGAGGTCTAGTTTCAGTAGTGACATAAATCTGGTGTGGGCCATGCATCCGGCCATGCATCCATCCATGCACCCATCCATGCACCCATCCATGCACCCATCCATGCATCCACCCATGCATCCATGCATCCATCCATGCATCCATCCATGCATCCATCCATCCATCCATCCATCCATCCATCCATCCATCCATGCATCCATCCATCCATGCATCCATGCATCCATTCATGCACCCATCCATCCATGCATCCACCCATCCGTCCATGCATCCACCCATCCATCCATGCATCCATCCATGCATCCATCCATGCACCCATCCATCCATGCATCCACCCATCCATCCATGCATCCACCCATCCATCCATGCATCCATCCATGCATCCACCCATGCATCCACCCATCCATCCATGCATCCATCCATCCATCCATCCATCCATCCATCCATGCATCCATGCATCCATGCATCCATCCTCTTCCATCCATGCATGAATCCATTGATCCTCTTCCACTTATCCAGTGCAGGGTGATGGGGGGTGGGCGGCTGGAGCCCATCTCAGATGTGAGTATGCCACATCATCATGTTAATGTTTAGTAATTCTAACTGATGGCCCTGAAAGCTTTGGCTTAGTTATTGTCTACAGGTTTCACCAATGATTACTGCAAATTTATCTCCGTCCCAAGACACCCTGCCCCCCTTTCCCGTCACAGCCATCGCCATGGCAATGCCTCCACCTTAATGAACCCCCCCTCCATCTGAATCTGTACTTCTACTTCCCACCTATCACTTGACCATATCAGCTGCTAACTGTTAGTTATTAACTGGACATCAGCGAGCTGTGTGTGAGTCCACAGTTGGTCCCTTTGTGATTTTAATCAGACAAAATGGGGCGAATGCTGCATAAAGAAATGTTTACCTCCAGGATTAGGCTCCAGAGCTGCAGTCTCACTGCATATAATTCACAGAGGAACTTAGTATCAAGTATCAA